CTGCTACTGCTCGTTCACTATGCTAACTTCCCCGAGAAGAACGAGCGAGAAACTCTAGGGATTGCTGTTTTCAAATAAACTTAAATGGTATGGAGTAGTACACTTTGAATCAAATTTGTGTGGAATCTAGAGCCATGTCGTCTTTCCATACATCTCTATCTAACACGTAGTCTTCAATTTTGTAATGTGACTTTTCAATTAAAATGCTTTTGATGTAAGTTTTAAAATTAGGAAATCATAATCTTGACATATACTCCGGAATCTTATTGTAAAAGCGTATACAGTTCCCCATAAAAGAATCGTTTGCCTTTGTTAAACGAAATCGTGGTACTATGAGTTTGACTACGTTGAGGTGGTAGTGTGAAGTTAGGTGTGAATACCATAGGTCGGTCCAAAATGGTCCTAAAGTAGACAATACAACAACTAAATAAGAAATGCGTGAAGTTAGGCGCGAATACCACGTCCGAAACGTCGAGACAAATACACTTCCGGACGCATTTTCAGTATTAAAAGCCCTAAGTTTAAACAATGTTTGATTGATCAAAAACTATTAAGCAATTTTGAAACTAGTATATTAAACGGCTTTTCCATAAATCCTTGTTGGAAATTTGAATTTGCGAAACCGGGGGAAAACTTTTTCTTCGACTATATCACTACTTGTGTATTCTAGCCCTTTAAGACAAAAATGCGAGGTGGCTCGAATTAAGTGTGAAGTATATAATATATTTTATGCACGATTAATTCCCGATTTAAAAACAAATAATTTGTGAAAAATGAAGGTTTGTGTGATGTGGACTTTGAGAGTTTTGACAATTTCATGGCGTGACCGGGTTACAGATATACCAGTACTCAATAAACTGAAGAAAACGAGTGGAGCTTATGAACACCATTAAGTGCAGGAAGATGTCGTACTTCGGTCTCTTTATGAGGAACATAACATTGGAACTTATATTTCAATTATCTCTGAACCTCGGTCTTTTCCCCCGGGAATGGAAGGTTGGACATGTAGTTCCAATTTTAAAGTCCGGCGACCCTTCTTTATGTATTAACTATAGACCTATTAGCATTATGTCTAGTGTAGCTAAAATGTTTGAGAGTGTTATTTATGAGTACGTGTACTCACCCGTTAAGCCATTCATGTCAGACAAGCAACATGGCTTCACCAGAAACAAATCCACAATTAGTAACTTACTGGAATATAAGCACTATCTCTGTTCTGTTTTCGCTCGTGGGGGTCAAGTGGATTCAATATATACAGATACTAAAAAGCCTTTGATAAAGTAAATCACAACCTTCTTTGCATGAAATTAACATCATTTGGTATTCATGGTAACCTTTTGCGTTGGGTACGATCTTATCTTGACAATAGAAGTCAACTTGTATGTATTAAAGCGTTCTTATCCCTACCAGTTACTATCTCTCCTGGCGTACCCCAGGGTTCCCATTTGGGGCCTTTATTTTTTATAATATTTATTAATGACCTGATTGTAAAGCTTCGTTGCCCCTGTCTATTATACGCAGATGATCTAAAAAATTTTAACACTATCTTTCATCATCATTCTTCAAAATGACTTTGAAACTCTCGCTCAATGGTCCCAAACAAACCTTATGTACCTGAACGTTGATAAGTGCTTAGTTATATCATTTACCAGAAAAAGTAATAAAGTAACTCATGAATACTCTCTATATAGACATGTCCTGCAACGCCGGGAAGTGGTTAGAGACCGCGGTATATTGTTTGGCGAAAAATTAACTTTCAGAAATCACTTTGATCATATATATGGTTGGTAGGGCCTACCCGACATTGGGCTTTGTGAACCGTGCTACTAAACGAAAACGAAACCGTATTGCTACATCCATCTCTATAGCTCATTGGTAAGAGGCGTTCTGGAGTATGGTACAGTGGTTTGGTCACCATACTATCATGTACATTCCAATAAGAGCGAAGATGTACAGAGAAGGGCTCTCAGATCGATTGTCGTCGTCAGATGCGTAGGTAGGCATCTGAATTTCGCTATAATATAATATACATTATTGATAAAACTGTCCACAACTATTGTGATATACATATCACATTAAAATGTTTCATGTTGTTTTACTTTCTTTGTTAAAGTTATGCACGCGTTTAGGTTTTCTCATAGTGTTCTCCGTAACAGTTAAAACATGTTAAGAGTTAAGCATTACTGCGTTTCCGTTTTGAAGTGTAAGGGTGTTGGTGAAATTACAGGCACATGGGACTTGTCAACTTATGTCACAAGATGCGCACGCCTTGTTTGTCCCGTCACTTGATTTCATAAAGAATGGTTTAAACTGAAATCTACCAGGGATCTTTCACGAAGTTTTGTTACAAGGTTATTTCGGTTCTGCGGCAAACATGACTCACCTCAATATAATGTGCGCTGGCCAAAGTAAGTCCTTGCTGATTGACGTTGACATTGTTATTCTGAGGTGGGAGACTGACAACGAGAACTGTACCACCAGCACTGGCTGCAATGGGAGCTTGCATTACTCTCAACTGCTGTGGCGATTGAGCCGGCAATTGATTGGTTAACATTCTGACTTTTTGGGTCGCACCGTATATATCCACAAACGCCCAAAGTCGCAAAGTATGGTCCACATGCATCACTGTTATAGGGTTCGATCCGTTTCTGCTGACCCTGACTTCTCCATCCATGGTCAGAGTGACTGCAAGCTCATCGCCTCTGCGGAGACCATTCGCCGCATCTCTCCGTACAACCCAGTATTCAGGACGGTCGAGGAGTTGTTCCGCATCATCCGGTAGATCACATGGACGCAAAGTACCAGGATCGCAGCTTGTCAGACCGATAGCCAGACTTCCTGCATACGCTACTTCGGTGCAAAGGATCTGGACGACAATTGTTTGTCCCGGACGCATAGGTCTGGCAGTAAAGACATATCCTTGACAGAATTCTGATTCTGCTCTAGCAGCAACACCTCTGTCGCTGACGAATTGAACGTTTCTCCCTTTAGTTCTGTGCAGACTGAGAGGTACTAACGGATTCTGATATCTCGGAGTAGGTAAAGCTTCGTCGACTGAGAGAGATCTCATTCCGGAAACAATTCTTTCTTCCTCTAGACTTGGATTTGACCTCCTGATTTGGTTTGGAGCTCTCGGGTCAGCAAATTGCAGAGCAGTGCAATTGCCGTAGACATCTATCAAAGCCCAGAGGGGATTTCTTACATCGACTCCAGAGAAAAACAGACCCTTGTCTTCTCCGTTAATCCCGAAGTGCACATCTCCAGCAGAATTTACGTAGTAGTATAAGATGTTGTCTTTTTCGCAGAATCTTTCACTCAGAGCTTTGGCCCAGTTTCCAGGTTTGTTGGTAAGATCTGGACAGGCATATTTGGGGAGGGAATGAACAAGGGTGGAGGGGTCGTGGTTGGTGAACCCGAAGCGAATCACGCCACTCCAGCTGTTTGATATCTCGACGAAACGGACGCAGACCTGGAAAAGATGAAAAGGGGGAATTAAGTTTAAAGTATGGACTGAGACGGCATAATTCAAATTCATTTATTCAGATAACTAGGATCCATAAGTGTTAGCAATAATGAAACTTATAATTAGGTTAGTACTTAAATTCTAGAACAGATTTTGTATTATTAATGAGATGCCGCATTATGGGACACTCACATGGCATAGTCATCAACATGTGCCTAATATTAATGCAAACCACTCTATTTTTTACTACACTTACAAAAGTTATACAAGTTACTTTTGATTAACCAAAAAACATTCCAAATTACGCCACGTGCTTTGAAAAATATTTCATTTTAACAACATGAATTTTTAAAAGAAAGTCAGAAATAAATTAGAATTGTTTCGATTTAAATCCGGAAAAATCCGCGTAATCCGCGTAAATCTAAGAACTTAATACGATCTAAATAAGTTCGTCACGGTATCGTTTCTCCTTTCTTTCCTTCGAGCTTCTCTAACATCATAAGCAACAACTTTGTACCCAAGACTTTTAATAATTTATCAAATGTACTTTCGTACAAAAATAAAAATAGATCGCTATAAACGGTGAAAACTGTGCGGGAGATGGGATGCTTGCACGTTTGAACTTACTATCTTATTACCAAGTAGAGATCTAAAGTCAAGGACATACAAAACTTAGTGGCAGCACTTGATATAGCTACCTGTATTTGTTATTGGGTATTTGATGAACTTGGAAAAATATTTGACGTGCAGACAAACTTGCATGACATGAACAATTGGAGTCAAATAACGAGTTAAAATCATTGACTTACAAATAAATGGACGACGGGTCTAATACAAAAACCACGAAAAAAATGTCCCAAGTCAACCTATTCAAACGTAGTGACTTTTCAAGGAATATGAAAAAGCTAAAACGTTGAATTTAAATTGTAATGTCATCGCAGTACTGTCTAATTTTGCTTGCTTCGCTGTCAGTCGAACAAACGAAGACTAGAGCGTGAAGGACGCTCTGTATACGATTTTAACGCCCTATAATATCGGACACTTTTTAGCGCGGACCCGACGTCCATATAATTGTAAGTCAATGGTTAAAATAATGAATTTGATCATAGTATGGACGGTTTACTTGCGTATTTGACTCCTTTGATGTGCGTCGAGAAGACGAACAGCGAGCGGTAACGCGATTTTGGTGTTTTTGTCGAATAGGCAAACAATACAAATACTTTGTCGCACACGCTGTTTACACGTGGCGATTGTTTACCAAAAGTATCAAATACGCAATTATAAATAAGGCGCTCCGCAGATGGAGCAGCAACTTTCGTTGACGCAACTGGTAACTTTTTACAAGTTTTCATTTACGGTTGCCGGTTGTAGCAATTAAAAGGCCTAATTGCCGGAATTTTAAATAATCTTTCGAAATAAACGGTCAAGACTGGTGCTGCGGAGGACGGGGAGGGAGTGAAGTTGCTTCACGAGTTGCGGTTGCCGGTTGCGGAAACTAGCAACTGGAGACAACCGGTACAAATTTGCAAGTTTCTAGTTGCTGCAATTGAGAATTTATTTAATCACGGATTTCAGCAATCGAAAACTGTAGTCGATTGCCGAAACTCTCAACTGAAGTTGCTACGTCTGCGCGGTTTCTTGAAATTATACGATATATGAAAAACGTCATAACAGCTAGTTGAGGGTTGCCAGTTGCCGAAACTCGATGATCAAAGTTGCTCCATCTGCGCAGCGCTTAACCATGTGAATAATAATAATAATACAAAGTTTATTTATCTCCACACATTAATAAGTAAAAATATAAAGCTTTGTAGCTCAGCACACTGGCGGAGTGTTTCACAATGCCTCTGATATTCTGCTACAGCCTGGCATGTTCATAAAAAGAAGAAGTACTAACTTACAGTATCATTCTAGTTCTAATTCTAATTTCAAGCCGATTATTAGACATTTACCACACATATGAACACGTTATATAGATTTTTGTTTTGCTACATAAAAGTTTATTTTTGTTAAATTATGTTTTGTAAAAAGTCATGGAACAAAAGTTGTTGTTTGTGATGTTAGTAATACAGTGGCAGGCTGTTACTGTTTTACATATAACCCTTTATAACGCTTCTAAAAGAACTAACTATCATTATCATAGTGAAAATATCTTAAATATCTCACCTTCTCGTTAACCCGTACAGGTCTACTGCTGAACGCTACACCCTTGCAGAAGGACTCAACCCGTCTTGCAGTGCTGCCGTCTCTTGAGATCCTTACATTGTCACCGTGCACAGAGTGGAAGCTGAGAGGCGGAAGGTTGTTCGGGGTGCTGCCCGTGCATGAGGATCGGGGGGCTGTAACAAGAGAGAACAGTGTTATGAAAATGCGGGACGTACATTTTTACGTTGTTCAACCACGTGTTTTTGGGAACAAGTCGTGTATTTGGTGGCAAGCGCCTGTCCATAAAAGTTACCGTGACACTCAAAGCTATTAATCACAAAGAACTGAGGGGCACTGCCACTGCGCCTGTCAGCCTGAGACATAAGTTGACAAGTCCCAGGACCAGCACCCTTACCCTTCAAAACCGGAACGCAGCAATGCACACATTACTGCTTGGCGGCAGAAATAAGCAAGGTGGCAGTACTTCCCCGGATGAACTCTTCTAGCAGACGCTAACTCGACTGAGTCGTTAAAACAGACAAACAAATTAGTTTAAACGATTTTAAAGAGATGTCGCTACAATGCTCCAAATCCAAAAGGCGGAAACATTGACTTACAAATAAATGGACGACGGGTCTAATACAAAAACCACGAAAAAAAGTCCCAAGTCAACCTATTTAAACGTAGTGACATGTAAAGGAATATGAAAAAGCTAAAACGTTGAATTTAAATTGTAATGTCATCGCAGTACTGTCTAATTTTGCTTGCTTCGCTGTCAGTCGAACAAACGAAGACTAAAGCGTGAATGACGCTCTGTATACGATTTTAACGCCCTATAAGTTCGGACACATTTTAGCGCGGACCCGATGTCCATATAATTGTAAGTCAATGGGCGGAAAAATACAAATTTGACAGTTGTAGTCTTGAGAACACGAGGTATAAATTTATAGAAATATGATAACTGTTATTCTTACCCAATCTTTTGGGGAAAAGAATCGTTAGTACAATTTGCACATTTTTGGCAAATACATCGTAAGTATTTATTTTAGTGCAATGATAAACAAAGGCAAATTTTACTGTACTTCAAAATTCTTATAACTTTATCTGTTCTTCCTAGAACTCAAAACATTTGGTTCAAAATAAAGATGTTCCTCTTATTCCACCTGACTATATAATGTTCTGGCCACACAGAGGTGGGAGTGGCGCGGTCTGGGGCCGAATATGAATTCGATTGAAATTTTTGCGTTGCTTCCGTAACGATAACAAAAGCAGAATATTTTCTTTATCTTTATCCGACAACGATGTGATGTTCTTTAAGATCTGTGTAGAAAATGAAACGGGGTTGCTTTTGGTGCCACACAGCCTGCCTTCGCTCCGCTATTCCGCCGCGAACTACGCAATACGCATTCGCTTCCCGCAAGTTCGCCACCGGACCGCTTTTCCCGCTGTACCGCCTGTGTAGCCTGAGCTTTAAATAAGTTTAAGTCTATAAACTGGACTCTTCTCTTTCCAAAAAGGTTTCAAATGTTTCTTGGCAGTCTAATTAGAAATTTCTAAATAAATAAAAATAAAAAACAAACTCCAACAAGTTGAAAATACTTTATTAATTGTTATTATTTATCATTGAATTAAATTATCACAAAACTGTTAGTTACATCAGAATAGGTTTGTGCAAAAAAAAAAACTTGCACGGCGCGTGAGACGCAGACAAGTTTCCGCCATACCAGGAGCGTTACGAGCGCGTTACCTACCCTATAGGACCCTTTTCAAACCCCTTTTGAAGAACTCCATGCTGTATTCCTGCGGGAAAAACCACGACAGGGAATTCATTCCACAATCTAATTGTACGTGCTCTGAAACCGTATAGTACAAGATCAACTCGACTTCAGAATATGAGAATGGAATGTCGGTGCCGAACGGTGCATTGATAAAATGAGTGTTGGTTGTTGCGGCGTTACACAAATAAAATAAAATAAAAAATATCAATAATAAAAATACAATTGAGTATGGATAAAAAGGTTAAAAGACGGCATTACTGATTTTCAGTCTTCACCTCTAGCTGTTCGCTTGCTACACCAGGCTAATATGCGGCTGACTATATTATCTATATACTATGTAATTATGCTTAGTTTAGAAAGTACATCTTATTCTAACTACAAAATGGAAAGTACCAAACGCTCCCCTGCTATATTCACGCTGTTCCCCCTCGCGACACTACACCTGCTTGGCAGATGCGACGCAGCTTGCGCGTGAGTCGATGTAATGTTATTTCGTGAGGGGAGAACGTCTTTGAGATAGTGTATTTCATATTGAAGAATAACAAATTTATTTTTGAACCCTAAATTGGTGGCTCTAGAGTCCACAATGACATTGACTTTAATATCAATTCAAAATTGCCTCTGTGGCCGAAAGATTACCATGCTGCTTTGCCACGCCGAGATCCCGGGATCGATTCCTGGGTTAGGATAAATATTTGTATTGCTTACATTTATTTCTCTCGTGAGTTGGGTGTAATTTGTGATTGTCTGTGTGTGTCCAGTGTCTTTGTTACTTATCAGTAACTAAGTTCTGTCTGTGATTAGATGTCATTAACCAAGAATGAACCTTTGCAAAGACATTAGTGGCATTTGTGTTGAATGTCTTAGTAATAATTTTAAATAGTGTCTTTGACAATTGTCAGTAACTAAATTCTGTCTGTGATTAATTGTCATTAACCAAGTATGAACCTTTGCAAAGACATTAGCGACACTGGTGTCGAATGTCTTAGTAATAATTTTAAACAGTGTCTTTGACAATTGTCAGTAACTAAGTTCTGTCTGTGATTGTCATTAACAAAGTATGAACCTTTGCAAAGACATTAGTAACATTTGTGTTGAATGTCTTAGTCATAATTTTAAGTAGTGTCTTTGTTAATTGTCAGTTACTAAATTCTGTCTGTGATTACTTGTCGTTTGCCAGACTTCTACCACAGTGGCCTTCTCGGGTGCTCTAGTGGGTGGAATTCAGGATCGATCAGAAACTTTCAGTATCTGGGATGAGCTACTTTCTCCCCCCTCGTGACGAAGAAGGCCACATCGTTCTCTCGTCCTCCACGCGGCTGCCAAACTTACTGGCGAGGGAAGCCCCCGCTCCGATCGCCCGTTGCTGCGAAGGTACACCGCCACCGAGCGGGATCGGCCCTCTTCCGATCACGCACGGCGACCTCCTTCTGGAGCATCACCGCTTCACCATCACCTTCGCCTGGCGGAGAGAGATCTCGCCTGATCCGGACAACCAGAGTGTTTCGCTCGGACGCTCACTAGCCCACTGGGCTAACCTAACCACTAAATCACCGAGTTATGAATCTTACCTTACCTACTTCTGCCGCCAAGAAGTAATGTTAACATTACTGCGTTCCAGTTTTGAAGGGTAAGGGTGCTGGTGAAATTACAGGCACATGGGAATTGTCAACTTATGTCTCAGTGGCACCCCTCAGATCTTTGCGATTTAAAGGTCTGAGTGGCGCTGCATTTGTAAGTCAATGTTATTATAGAAACTTATTTATTAAGACTGTTTTATCCAGAACTAGTCCGCAAAAGGTTTGTCTCATTTTGAGTGAAGTAGACTTATTTTAATTGTTTCTTACAATATTTTAACGACGGTTTCATTGACGTGTAGAGAATCAAATTTTACGTTCAGCAATAGTATAATCTTGAATATATTTACATATTTTGAGTTACAACGCTATTGTAATAGCTGTGCGACATGTGGCTTTCTTAAACCAAAAATACGATTATTTTAGACATAATTCTTTTTTACAGTTATCAAAAGCTACGTTTCAAAAAGCAGCGAGTCACGTCCATAAAACAACTATCAATTTTAAATAGTTACTACATTCCACTTTTCTAGGACAGTGTAGCTTTTAATTATATAGAAACTTTAATAGATGGCGTTACATGTATTTTACGTGGCGCTTCAGTTATACCATGGACTGTTGCATGCAACTGTTATGGACAGGCGTGTAGCTTACCACCAGGCGCACGGCTCGTTCGTCCCGTCACTTGATGTTATAAAAAAAGTCTTCGCAAACGACATTAGTGACATTTGTGTTGGTGTCCAAGTAAGCAAACCGCAACCTTATTCCCTTCCCCCAATCTCGAAACCTTCTCATATTGCCCAATACAATAATAATAAAAGAAATAATCAGGAAATGGCACGTGCGTGTAGCACAATAGAGGGTGTTCCGTTCGGCTGGTCGTTTGCGAGTAACAATAGTAAATGGTGTTTCTTTTATAGGGGTGAAAGATCTAATAATAGTGCAATGTTTAACACGGGCCGTGGAATTGGGAACTGCAATCCAGAGTACAGGAAGCAGCCAGCGGGCTACTCATCTTCTATAGTCCATTTATTAGGTACTTAACTAAATGTAAACAATCTTGAGATGTCTATTTAATGAAATATAAATTTATAAAATGATTTTACTTACCTTCAAATGCAAAATACAAATACTTAGCATATATCAAATTGCATGCCTATTTTTATGTCTATTGATTTGTAAAGTATGTTTCAATAAAAAGATGTATCAAGATTGTTTACATTTAGTTAAGTACCTAATAAAAGGACTACAGATCAGTGTTGGATGCCAATTCGGGTCGACAACGATCTTCTAAAGTAGGAGTGCATGACCCTATGAATCTCGTCGATTATATATCGTTTATAACACTTTTGTTCCATTACTTTTTAAGAAACACAACAAAATTTACTAGAAATAAACTTTCAAGTTTTTCTTGTACTATCTGACACTTTTGAAATCTATATTTAATAAGAACTTTATTTATCTACATTTGCATAACAATTTAGGCTTAAATAACATCATCTATATCATCTATATTATAGCCTAGGTCGTTGTTAATCAATTATTATTATCAAATACTATTTATTTTCCTTCTACAATCTATTATTATTAATATCTTACTTACTTTTAATATTTATTTGCTTTGCATGCCAAAAAAATTTTGCATCTTCAATGATACAAGGAATCTCCAACCCGCATGAAAACAAAAAACATAGGGATCCATGCCGAGACTTTTAATAAACTAGTTATCAATATTAAATTCAATCGTTCGTTGTAACATGCATCAATTGCTAGAAGCCGAAGCTAGATAAAATTATAAAAAAGTTTGATCACAAAATTCAATCTTTTTTTTTAAATTTC